AAGATATCTGAGCTAATGAATTTTCTCTTGTGAATGTTTTTCACCAACCTCTATGCATTTTTAAAGAAATATGGTACTCTTTCTTGCATATGATTTATAAATCTTCAATTTTTTATTACTTTCTCTCAAAGTATACTTGATAAAATGATACTGATGTGACTATATTTCCAATTAGTTTTTGACAATAATGCAGAATTCGAGTGTCTTAATATTTAAAAATTAACATAAATGAAAAAATTGGTAAAGGATTATACATTCATTCAACCAACAAAAGCACAGTAATGAAACACATTTTAAACCAAGGGTTAAGGACCTTGTATACATGTTTTTATTGTACTTGTGATTATCTAGGTGACTCTAAGAAAATCATATAATTTCTCTTCAGTTTTTCTGTTAGTAAAATGGTAAATAAAATAATTGCCTTACTTCGCCCATAGGCATGGGAAGAGATTCAGCTACGCGATCACAATGCATACTGGGAAGGAGAGTATTTGCTAAATTTGAATAAGGAGAAAGAACATAGAAACTGCAATACTTCATGTAGAGGTATTTCAAGAGAAACAGCTATACATGAATCCCAAGAGATACTGAAAGACTTTGAGGCAACACAATTTGGGCACAGATCACAAAACACTTGAACTCACTGAGGTGATTTTCATGTATCCTCCAGTTTTCATATATGTAGTTTGCCAGTGCCTCTTACACTTTACTGTGTAAAAATATTACCTAGAGATCGTATTAAAATGCAGATTATAATTCAGAAAGTCTGCAGTTCAACTTGTCTGTGTGTATTTTTTAAAAGCACTAGAGTGATGTTAATAATGCAAATCAAGGAACCACACTTTGAATAGCAATGTAGAAGGCTATTTAATCTCACAGTATTAGAGGGATGATGAAGATGAACAGCCCTATGACATAGTCCAGAGTCACTGTGACATACTAGACATTACAGCAAGAGATTGGTTTGAAATTTGGATAGGAGGTGTCCTATTCCATTCAGCTTGCTATTTTTTAAAGGCCATAAACTAAGTAGTCTATAAACGATAGAAATGTATTTCTCACAGATTTGGGGGCTATGAATTCCAAGACTGAGGTGCCAGAAGATTCAGCATCTGATTATGGCCCACTTTCTTACTCATAGATGGTGCCTTCTAGCTGTTTCCTCAAATGACAGAAAGGAGGGGTGAGGGGAGGTCTCTCTGGGACCTCTTTTGTAAAGACACTAATCCCATTCATGAGGCCTCCGTACCCATGACCTAATCACCTCCCAAAGGCCCCACTTTCTAATTACATCACCTTGAGGGTTAGGATTGCAACACATGAATTTTAGGGGACCACACAATGTATACCATAGCAGGGGCATATTAATTTGAGGTAGTAACATGACAAGGGAGTCCCCCACAAAAAAAAAAAAAAAAAAAAAAAAAAACCTGGTAAGAGATATCCAACGACAGACTGGAAAAAGCTTCAGATAATTTGTAATTGAAAAAAGTTCAGGGTATATAGAAAACAGGGGCAATTTTTTAAATGAAAACACCAAGACAGAGAGTGCAGTGCACAAAATTTGGAGAAGAATAAAGTTGAGCAAACTTCTCAAAAATAAATCAAAATGAGTAGAGACAGATGCAGCTGGGTCAGTTTCAAGGGCTCAGAATGAAAGGGGAACTTTAAAAACTGAATGGTTACATCTGTACGATGCAAAGACCCAAAAACTATTAAAAGGAAGGCAGACAGGATGAAAAGTTTTCTCAAGTGAGAAGTAAAATTAAGACATTTTCTGGTGGTGGCAAGACAAAAAGTAGAAGGAAAACAGTCATTATGGAGGTCGCAAGTTATCTCTTCGGAAATGGGAACCCTTGCTCAGTAGAGCAGATAGAATAGGAAAGTTCATCAGAATTCAGTGGGAAGGAAAGAAGAAATGGGTGGAGCTATCTAGAGAAGTAATTAAGAAAAAGGCTATATAAAATAAGTGAATGCCTGCTGTGTTTTGAACTAAAGCAACCAGAGAAATCAATGTAGGAGGTGAGGAGCAACAGATCCTGAGTCAAAGGAGAAATGGAGAAACAGAAGAAAAGCATCACAAGAGAAAGAGAAATAGCATTTAAAGGGTGTCTTTATAAATTAAGTTATAAATTATGATTTATAAATTATAAAATTTAAAATATAAATTATAAATTATCACAACGTTGATAATTTTTTTATGATTTACTATGAGGAAGAAAAAAGATGACATCCATTCAAGTACTGACAAATTCTAACTAACTCTATGAAATACTAAAAAGAAGGATTGAATTATAAGAATAAATTATTTTTTAAAGTTGGAAGTAGCAACATAAGTAATGAACATAGTAAAATACAGTGGCGGGGTAAACAGTGAAGACCAATGACCAATCAGTTGGAAAGTATCATATAGAGAGCAGAGCAAAGGACAAGGAGGATGCAGATGTAGAAATAAGAACTCCACTCATCTGGGGAAAGATAAAAAGTGTCCAGTTCTCTATGGCACACCCAGTTTGGCTTCATCATTTCTCTAAGACCTTTTTTTTTTTTCATCATTGCCAACAGAATACTAAGATTTTTTTCTTTACTCCTTTTCCTCCAGGTTCTCATAGATAATTTATTAAGCAATCTGATAACTAAATTTGAGTTATGAAAGTCATGCTTAATAGTATTTTCTATTTCATTTCTTCCAGATATGTTGGTAAGACCAGTTCATATTTGTTTCCAAGTCATAAAAACCAAGTCATGTTTACAGGGTCATGAAGGAGATAACTTCATTTTGAGAGTATTTTCAGTTGTGTGTGCTCTCTGAAAAGAAGATTAATCCTATGTGATAGGCACCAGTATAATTTTTAAACATCTAATTGGGCTTGGTCCATATCCAATTCTGCCATTACTCAATGTTCTCAAATTTATTTCAGAGTTTATCAGAGGAAGGGAGGGGAAATTATCCAAAAGCAAATGACTACTGGAATCATTACTGATTATGTTGTATCTCATTAAAGAAACGTTTGAGTAATGCAGAAAAGTAGGTCAGAAGTATAATGGCTGTCATGTTTAGGACATGAAGCAAGATGATCAAGCATGGGTATAATTTTAAAAGTAATAATTTTAGCAGAATGTAGACATGGAAATAGCTGGTATCTTTTACAATAGTCATTATAGTAGATATCACAATGATGTTAGTGCTCAAGACATTTTTGAAACACTTTCAGAAAATTTTCATCAGGCTCAGTTCACAAGTCACGCAAAAGATATTCTTCCCATAAAATCACGATTGCCTAAATATTTGTATATACTCACTATAGCATCTCAATCTTTATTTTTAAAAATAAACAAATAAAAATGCTTATTGTTGAAAGTGCACCCGAGTAAACACAGGTGAAGGGATCAATTTGAAGTGTCAGAATAAAAGTCTAAGTAACATTGAACAGAGTTTTTAATGTGAATTGCTTTAAGGACCACCTTTCTTAACTTCCTACTGGTAGTGCTGTCTATTGCAAGACTTTCACAAGGCAAGAAAGAAAAAAAAAAAAACTTGATTCATGATTTGTTTGAAATAAACAGAATAATATATTTCCTTGGTCATGCAAAGGAAATGTTCTGCAAAATATTTTGAAACAACGTATTATTTCAATGCACTGACTCTTGTCAAAACAGAAAGTTGTATAGTAAACTACATTTCTGAAAATTTCAAAGAGTTGTTCAAGCTAGAAATCATATGTTTCCTTCTCAGCATGAACAAGATGGAATTCTTGTATACGCTTATCACTCTGATGCCCACTATAGTAGAATTTGGATATAATGTTACATGTCTCTTATTGTGTTAATTAACATAATATTTTTGTGTTCTTTCTTTCCAGTGTGAATCAAAACCATTTGATATGAAATTATTTGCCTTTACATAGGAAGTATTGATCATAACCACATGTGTAAATGATTACATCTTTACTATAAAACTTTAATTACAAATTTCCTGACTGATTAAAAATTATCACAAGCTCAAATTAAGAAGATGTCAATAAAATGTTTATTTATTCAGTAAATTCACTTTAAATATTTATGTGATATGTCCTTCTGACTTGTATTATACAGTTAAGAATTTTTTGGCAATTGTTTTGGGACAAGCCAAGGAGAAATGGAATAGTACTAGGTTTTTAACAAAACTGCTGTCTTTGTATTTCATCTACAAACACAGAGTCTATGTAATATTCATCCCTGGGAAAGAAGTTAACATTCCCTAGAAGAAAAAAATATTTAAGTCTTTAATTCATCTTGACTAGATTTTTGTATATGGCATAAGGAAGGGATCCAGTTTCAATCTTCTGCATATGGCTAGCCAGTCATCCAAGCACCATTTATTGAATAGGGAGTCCTTTCCCCATTGCTTGTTTTTATCACCTTTGTTGAAGATAAGATAATTATAGGTGTGCAGGCTCATTTCTGGGCCTAAAACCCAAACTATAAAAACTCTGGAAGACAACTTATGTAAAACCATTCTGGACATAGGAACAGGCAAAGATTTTATGATGAAGATGCCAAAAGCAATTGTAACAAAAACAAAAATTGATAAATGGGATCTAATTAAGTAAGGAACTTCTGCACAGCAAATAAACTATCAACAAAGTAGACAGATAACCTACAGAATGGGTGAAAATTTTTGGAAATTATGTATCTGACAAAGGTCTAATATCCCGCATTTATAAGGAACTTACACAAATTTCAAGGAAAAACAAAAACAAAAAAACACCCCCATTAAAAAGCAGACAAAGAACATTCTTCTTCTTTTCCAAAAGAAGAAATATATGTGGCAACAAATATATGGGAAAAAACCCCTCACCATCACTGATCATTAGAGAAATGGAAATCAAATTCATAATTAGATACCATCTAATGCTAGTCAGAATTGCTATTATTAAAAAGTCAAAAAGTAATACATGCTGGTGAGATTGCAGAGAAAAAGGAATACTTACGCCTACTGGTAGGAGTGTAAATTAGTTCAAACATTGTGGAAAACAGTGTGGCAATTCCTCAAAGACCTAAAAACCAGAAATACCATTTGACTCAGCAATCCTATTATTGGGAATATAAATTATTCTATCACAAAGACACATGAGTGCATATATTCACTGTAGCACTATTCACAATAGGAAAGACATGGAATCAACCTAAATGCCCCTCAGCAGTGATAGACTGGAAATAGAAAATGTGGTACATACACATCATGGAATACTATGCAGCCATAAAAAAAGATCATGTCCTTCACAGGAACATGGATGGTACTGTAGACCAATTATCCTTAGCAAACTAATATGGGAACAGAAAACCAAATACTGAATGTTCTCACTTATAAGTGAGAGCTAAATAATGAGAATTCATGGACACCTAGAGGGGAAAAACACAACTGAGCTCTATCAGAGGATGGAAAGTGGGAGGAGAGAAAGGATCAGGAAAAATAACTAATGGGTACTAAGCTCAATACCTGGGTGATGAGATAACCTGTACAACAAACCCCCATGACATGAGTTTACCTAAATAACAAACCTGCACACGTACCACTGAATTTCAAATAATATTTTTTTAAAAGGTGAGATGAATAGATCTGGGTGTGTGTGTATAATTTGGAGGAATGAAAAAGGTATGTCCTGTCTTTTTGAGGAGGTGATGTAGCAACGTGGTTGACTACTGGTTTTTGATTTACAGACCTGGTATCAGGCCAACACTTTCCCACTAAGGAGCACTGTGGCTTTGAGAAAGTTATTTAAACTCTTTGAGCCTTGTTTCTCAAATATCAAATATGGGCAATAGCACCTTCCTCAAATTGTCATGATAAGTAATTATTAAGATAATACATGAAAAATGCCCACCATAGTACTATGTCTTACCTTTAGTAGAGGCCACAAAAAAACTAATTTCAGGACTTACTGAGGGAGGGGAGAAAATAGTCCCACACACGCTTGTCTCTATTCCTACCTTGGCGAAAAGTGGCATATGGTTATAAAGACCAAACATTACTATGACAGGATTCATTCCTTCAACAGAAAACAATTAAGGTGAGGTTTAGACTCCATATAAAGGAGGGGTCAGATTGCATTTTATTTAGAAAATAATAAAGGATTTCAAGCAGTCAAGTGGCATGCTATGTTTATAATTATTTTGGTTTCTATGTGTAGAAATATTTGAAGGACAGCAAGACTGGAAAGAGGAAGGTAAGTTAGGAAACTACCACAGTTGCCGAGGCAAATGATGAAGGTAGTCAGCAGGAAGAGACAAAGGTAGACTGGAACATGTTCTGGATGTACAGTTGACAGAAGTTACCGGCGATACAGTATGAGAAGAAACATGTGCATGTTCCAGGATAATTCCTGAATTTTTAGTGTGATCCACTGGAATAGATAATGATTCTATTTAATAAAAATGGAAGCGACAGAGAGAAGCAGGTTGAGGAAGAAATTAATTAATACGAAGTTTGAGACGCTTACTGGGCACCCAAAGCTGTCAAGGAGATAGTTGAACATACATTTAGGAAGGGGGACAAGTTGTAAATAAAAACAATGGAGTCATCCAAATATAGTTGGCCTTTTCAATCATTAAAAAGTCAGGAAACAACAGGTGCTGGAGAGGATGTGGAGAAACAGGAACACTTTTACACTGTTGGTGGGATTGTAAACTAGTTCAACCATTATGGAAAACAGGATAGGCATCTCAAGATCTGAACGTAGGGAGAGCTACCATATGGATACCAGCCAGCGATACTGGGTTATATCAAAGGATTATAAATCATGGTGCGCTATTAAGACACTAATGCCACACGGCTGTTTATTGTGGCCCACTATTCCACCAGATAGCACAAGGACCGGTGGGAATCACCCAGAAGTGTGCCATTCGCAGTGCGCAGGACTGATTAAGTAAAATGTGCGGGCGCAAGATATACAGCCCTGGACTAGTGCAGCATAAAAACGGATTGGAGGTTGTGTCCCTTTGTAGGGACATGGATGCAGCTGGAAACCATCGATTTCTCAGGCAAACTATCGCGATACAGAAAAACAAAACCCGATGTTCGTGTCATAGGTGGAACTGAAAATGGTCCACTTGATCAGAGGAACAAGTCACACACGGGCCGGGTCATTGGGGTGAGGGCGGGGATTGGTTGGGGTATACCTGATTGTATGAGGGAGTCGGATGGGTGTGACGACGTTGAATTGGGTGCAGCAGCAGCAACAATGCCACAGTTTATCATATGTACAAGCTGCACGTTAATGCGGATGTAACCCTAAGGATGCTGTGAAGTATAATAATAATATTATATATATATCTTATATAGTGGCCTTTAAAGCCACTCATTAAATTGAGCTAAACCAGGGGATAGGCAGTGCACGAAGGGGCAAATGAGGAAATCAGAAGGCCAGAGCGTTTAGAGGGTTGGGACAGAGTTAAGGAAAGGGCAACGGCAGATCCCAGGAAAGGAGTAGACGAATGGCTGGAGGGTAAGGAAAGACGAAGGGCGAGGTGGGGGTGTCACCAAAGCCAGACAGGGAAGTACCGTTCTTAAACAGGGAATGAGGCCGGCGGGCGGCGGGTTGGGTCGCACTTGGGAGCGAGCGGCGTGAGCGACGGAGAGGAGATCCGAGGGACTGTCCTGGGGCTACATGTGAACCCGTCTCTACGTAAGAAGAATTACAAGAAAACTAGCCCGGGGTGCCGTGGTGGCGGGCCCTTAGTCTAGCTACGTGGAGGCTGAGGCGGGAGAATTGGCGTGAAGCCGGGGGGCGGGAAGCTTGCAGGAGCCGAGATCGAGCCAGCTGCACATCCAGCGCCGTGGAGACAGCTGAGACTCGTCTCAAAAAAAAAAAAAACAACAGGAATGGACATAGTAGCGCAGGCCGTATTGATAAGGGCAATAAATGAGATGGTATGAGAGAAAGCACCTATTGCACTTCCACACATGTAGCAGGGATTCAATAAATGTTACTTCCCTTAACTTTCTGTTTGCTTTCTAAGAGGTTAGCAGTGTTTATTGGTAAAGAGTGTAGGCATAGGAGTTGATCTGCCTGAGTTCAAATTCTTCCTCTGCCATTCCATAACTGTGTGATCTTAGGCGAGTCATTTAACTTCTCAGTACCTTAGTTTCTCTATTTTATTTTATTTTCATTTTGGGGGGATGGAGTCTCCCTCTGTCACCCAGGTTGGAGTGCAATGACACCATCTCGGCTCACTGCAACCTTGGCTCACTGAACCCTCAACTGGGTTCAAGCAATTCTCATGCCTCAGCCTCCTGAGTATCTGGAATTATGGGCACACACCACCATGCCTGGCTAATTTTTGTATTTTTAGTAGAGACAAGGTTTCACCATGTTGACCAGGTTCATCTCAAACTCCTGACTTCGAGTGATCCTCCCTCTTTGGCCTCCCAAAGTACTGGGATTACAGGCGTAAGCCACCATACCCATCCAGTTTCTATATTTTAAAATGGAGGCACCGATAGTGCTTAATTCACAGGGATGCAGCTAACACGTTGAAGTCAATCAGTAATGTTAATTACTCTGTCCTTTCGTATTTTTTTTAAAGTATACAATAACAGGCATAATTTGTTTTCAATTGTCATAATTTTTACTTGGCTGAGCGTCCTAACTATATTTTCATGGCCAGTGAGATAATAAAGCCCTCCTTTTCTTTTCACATTGTACAGATATCCACTTTTTAAACATTTTTAATTGACATATACTAATTCTATATTTTTATGGGGCACAATGAGATATTTTGATGTATATGCATAGAGTGTATACTGTAGAATATTACAATTAAATTAAGCTAACATAGCTATCACTTCACCTATTTTTTATTTGTAGTGAGAACACTTAAAATCTACTCTTTGAGCAATTTTGAAATATACAGTATATCACTATTAAGTATAGACAACATGCTCTTCAATAGATCACTGAAACTTATTTCTCCTCTCAAACTGAAGCCTTGTACCCTTTGGTCAACATCTCTCCTTCCTCTATTTTCCCACTGCCTCTCCCATTCCCCAGCCTCTGGTAACCACCGTTCTACTGTACTTCTGTGAATTTGAATATTTTAGATTACACATGTAAGCGAGATCATGTAGCATTTGTCTTCCCGTGCCTGGATTATTTCACTTAGCATAATGTTTTCTAGTTCATCAGTGTTGAAACAAATGACAGAATTTCCTTCTTTTTTAAGGCTACACAGTGTTCCATATTGTGCATAGTTTACATATATAACACATTTTCTTTATCATTTCATCGATTGATGGACACTGAGATTACTTTCCCATCTTGGCTATTATGAACAATGCAGCAATGAACATGGGAGTCCAGATATCTTTTCAACATACTGATATTGATTCCCTTGGATAAACAGCCAGAAGTGGGATTGCTGTATCATATGATAATTCAATTTTCATTTTTTTCAAAATCCTGTTTTTCATTATGGTTGTACTAAGTTACAGTCCCACTAACCATTTACCAGGATTCATTTCTACACATCCTAACATTTATCTTTTATTTTCTGAATAATAGCCATTCTAATAAGTGTTAGGTATATTCCATTGCGGTTTAATTTGCATTTTTCTGATGATTAGAGATGTTGAGCATTTTTTCATATATCTAGTCACCTTTTACATTTCTTCATTTAAGCAATGTCTGTTGAGGTTTGTCTTAATCCATTTGTGCTGACATAATAAAATACTACAGACTTGATCATTTATAAATAACAGTAATTTATTTCTCACAGTTCTGGAGCTATGAAGGTCCAAGATTAAAGCATCAACAAGTTCCGTGCCTGGTAAGGGCTGCCATCTGCTTCCAAGATGGCACATTATTGCTGTGTCCTCACATAGTGGAAAGTAAAAGGCAAAAGGGCTGAATGCTGAATAAGCCTCTTTTTAAGGGCCTTAGTCCCATTCAGAAGAGAGACGGCCTCATGACTAATCATCTACAGGCCACACCACTTAATACTATCACACTGGTGGTTGTTTCAGCACATGAGTTTTGGGGGACAGCCAGACCACAGCAAA